TTTCTTTGGTCAAGGGATAAGCTTAATTAAGTAGTTTCTTTGGTCAGGGGATAATCGAAAGTCCTTTCTTTGGACAGTAGATAAACAGCTTGCGATGGGATGTGAATTTTGCAACAAGTAAAACAGACGTTAAACGTGAGTAATTAATGTGTCTATTGTTTGTGCATTTCAGAGCGCCGCACCACGGTCCCCCCATCCGTTCGCAGCCCATTGAGTCCCCTGAGCACCCTTGGCTTTTCGTCCCCCCCTCGCCATCCTCTGAGTTCAGCATTACGGAGCGAAAAACAAAACAGCAGCAATAGCATGATTAACTGTTACGAATATAAGAGAAATTAATTTTGCTAACCAAAGATTGAAAAACCAAATATAACTGACCCTTTATACGGTGTCGTGCGATTATCAGAAGTGGTAATAAAACGTATTGGATTTGCACAGTTTTCGTTTTCAGTGATTTGTGTTCATTTGTTACTTTTATCACCAAAGCCAGAGACATCAAGAGCGTCCGTGGTGTAGCAGTTATAAGGGGTGCCCACTAGGGATGGGATTGGCCGATCAGTCGCCTCGAAAACAATACAAACGTGTTTGTTTTCAGTTTCAGGCGAATCAAGTCGGGCGATCGGCCCGATCCAGCCGTAGTGGGTACCCCGTATTAAGCAGTTCTTCCTCGCCCGCAGGAGACCCGAATTCGATTTCAGTGAGGAAATAATTTTTTAATGAGTATCTTAGTTTTTCTGCTGGGACATTGCACCACTCCACAGCCTGGGTTTGCCCCAAAAGACAGGGTCAAATCCTGCCTCCTGGATTAGACGAATTGCGTCGACAGCAGCGTAGAACACCTACACAAAAAGAGACGCCAATATCATGACACACATTAAATTCTTTTGTTCTTTCTGAACAGGAGAAACAGAATATATATATATCTCTCTCTCTCCCTCTCTCTCTCTCTCTCTCTCTCTCTCTCTCTCTCTCTCTCTCTCTCTCTCTCTCTCTTTCGCCTCGTCTTCATCTGCCTGTGTATGTATGTTGTGTAAGCGTGTTCGTTTGTTTGTTAAAGTAAAGTTTTAGGGCGCTCGCAACCGCATGGTCATATGAGTGCCAAGGGGTGGATGTCAAAAGAGAAGTCCAAAGGGGAATCAGGTTTACTCTGCTCACCTCTCTAGCCTCAACAGCGCAAAGTCTGCTTAGACTATCAAGGCACCTGGGAAACAGCAGATCAAAAGAAGTGACAACCATACAAAAAATTAGAGATAAAATGACGACAGTAGGGAAGAGGAAAGAAAAAGAAGCAGTTGCCCGTATGATGTTCCGGCACAGTGTGCGCATGACATTGATAAATCAGCCCATTAACAAGTCTACTGCGCTTAAGAACATGTTAATATCCCTCTATGAGAAATGCCTAAAGGCAACTTCAGTCAGTAGCACTACCCTGGTTTGGGGGGGGGGGGGGTCCGAGATTCTGCAACCAAGGTAGTGGCGTCAGTGGCCTAGTGGTTAGGCTTTTGGACTCGCAACCGTAGGGTAGTGGGTTCGAATCCCGTCAGGGGCCCGACGTTGTGTCCTTGGGAAAGGCACTTTGCACACATTTTCCCCACTTCACACAGGTGGAAATGGGTACACGGCTATAGACAGTGAACGATCTTGACAGTTTGATAGAGTTTGAGCGCGTGAAATCTGCAGCTTGCACTGTATGCTTCTGCGGAAGCCGAGAATGTTTCAGAGTATTCTCAAAGGGTCTGCTGGGGTAATAATAGTTGCAAAGCGCATAGAGCATGCTCTTGAGCATGGATATGCGCTATATAAATGCAATTATTATTATTATTTATTACATCTTGTTCGTATCCAAAGCTATTGCCGTTAGTGTGTGATGGTTTCCACTTTTTCAGTCAGGAACATAATATTTTTTTTAGTGGCGTGGTGGTTAAGCTGCCTGGCTCGTAACCGAAAACTCATGTGTTTGAACCCCGTATGGGGGTCTGACGTTGCGTCCTTGGAAAACGCACTATACATGAATCATTGTCCTTAATTTACCCAGGTGGGAATGATTACCTGGATACAGATACCGAAAGTTCTAGTCAATGTTTTTATTTTTAGTATCTGAGCGCTATACTGGCTGCTTGCCCTGTTTTTTCCTGGCACCCTGAGAGTGTCTACGCGTGTTTTAAGGTTTCGTTGGGGTAATAACAGTTGTGCTGCGCATAGATCATGCTGTAGAGCGTAGATAAGCGCTATATAAATGCAGCTATCATTGTTTTTTAATATATACTTGGAGATCTATCTATCTATCTATCTGTCTATCTATCTATCTGTCTATCTATCTATCTATCTATCTATCTATCTATCTATCTATCTATCTATCTATCTATCGATATGATAGAACTGAAGAGTACAAGTACATGTTCTTGATTCTCTTGGGATTGGCCAACACAGAATTTGATGCGTATAAACTAAACAACGGAACTATACGTGAACCTCATTCGACAGATGTAAGGTAAGGGAGATTTTCCACTTGCAGATGTAAGAGAGAGATTTATCTGTGATCGTCTGACATGTCAAGATGTCTTAACAGCCAGAAACAGCAGATTTCTCTACCATTGTTTGTCTGTCTGTCTCTCTGTCCTTTTATAGCTCTCAGGAAAGGTGTCGTGTTTACACGTTCTGTCCCATGACTTTTAAAAACTTCCTCTACGTCCATTGACGTCCATCCACCCCACCCTTTCTGTCTGTCTGTCTGTCTGTCTGTCTGTCTGTCTGTCTGTCTGTCTGTCTGTCTGTCTGTCTGTCTGTCTGCCTGTCTGTCTGTCTGTCTATCTGTCTGTCCGTAATTCTGTCTGTCTGTCTGTCTGTCTGTCTGTCTGTCTGTCTGTCTGTCTGTCTGTCTGTCTGTCTGTCTGGCTGTCTGTCTGCCCCCCCCCTCTCTCTCTCTCTCTCTCTCTCTCTCTCTCTCTCTCTCTCTCTCTCACGCTTACTTACTAACTGCTTTTATTTTTTAAAGCCATTTCTATGCCTTCCCTCTCTCTGACGTGTCTTTTCCTGTCTCACTGTCTCTTTCTACATGAATCTCTCTACATATTTCCACCTCTCTCTCTCTCTCTCTCTCTCTCTCTCTCTCTCTCTCTCTCTCTCTCTCTACCTATATATCCATCTCCCCCCCTCACTCTCTCTTTCGGTATTCCTGTATCTATCTATCTCCCCTCCCCCCCTCTCTCTCTCTCTTTCACCCCCCCCCACCACACACACACACTCACTTTCTCTCTGTCTCTGTCTCTGTCTCTGTCTCTCTCTGTCTCTCTCTGTCTCTCTCTCTCTCTCTCTCTCTCTCTCTCTCTCTCTCTCTCTCTCTCTCTCATACATGCAACAAAAGCATGCTGCAACTACTACACCATCCATATTCCACACCTGGATGTGACATGTAACACACGGAGACAGAACAGAAAATTTCCTCTTGCTCCAATTCATAGCACTCTCGATTGGCTTCTACTTCTTGTATTTGCTTGAAGATCCCCGGGGATTGTCGACTTGCTCATTTCTCATCATTGATTAGCTGAAAACAAAACGATGCTCAAAGCCAACGAGGACATAAGAAACATTGGGAAATATCAAGGGCGGTCTTGTTACTAGTTAGTGCTGGGAAAGGAAGGGAATAAAGGGGCAGAAATGGATGATTAATATTGTATCGGTTAACACCCCTTCCAACACCGTAAGATTATTTCTGAGGCGCAGAGAGACCAGCGTGTTATTGAATTATGAAAGTAAAAGATGGATGCTATTATTTCTAGCCGTGTTTCTCTCTCCGCAAGTTCTTGGCTCAAGGGCTGTGTAGGCGAGCGATTGGCGACCATTGTTAGTTCAGCTGATGCCGTTGAGGAATTTTCCCGACAAGATTGTGATTTAGCGAAACAGATTTATCGACTGGTTGGATTAAAGATGCGAAGAGACACACTGGCCGAGTCATTTGTTCAGTTGACATTATTCTGGACTGTGCTGCGCATGTCTGCGGTTCGATTCTCATCCGGAGTGTTTTTGCATGGTATTTGAAAAGACTTTGAGCTCTCTCTATTCACGACTTGGCTCTAGTTTATCGAAGATGGTCGAACAATCCGGCCTTTCTGTCTCTTACACAAATTTACATATATAAATATACTTATTTCACCAAAAAAGTTTTCGAAAGGAAACATTAACGCTTTAAGGACGGAGCGGACACACAATTATATCCGGCTACAAGCAGATCAAAGGCAATTTTGTGGCACATTTTGAACTAACAAAACGCAAATGAGAAACACAAATCCGCATTTCATTGTACGATTATTGCTTCTTGCCTTTTAAGCTTTGAGATAAGGATATCAGAACTGAACTGAAACATCATTCTGTATGATGGGCGAAGTTATGCTTTAAAAAAAAATTTTTAAGTTCCCCAAAACAGCATTCTAGCGTGTCCTCAAGCATCATCGATTGGCCAGAATGCGCTTCCCCCAGTGAGTTACACTTTTCTAGTACTAGATCTAAATCTTATGATTGTTACCAAACGAAGGTCAACCCATGCCAGTTTGCCTGGCTAATAAATGTGGAAAGATTAAGTTACAGAACAGATTTCCTGTCTGAGATGCGGGTATTTGTGAGGCAACGCGGTGGAATCAGGCTCTCGTCAATTTTTTTGCATATTGAGTTATAGGTATAATCTTAAAACTTGTTCATTTGTCTTGCTTTCAATGAAAAAATTACCCATCCATCTTCAATAGAAGTGGAGATTTTTTGGATTGAAGAAGGGTGGGGGTCACCTGATTTAAGAGGTAAAATTAGCGCGAAAATGGCCGCAAAAGCTTGGTAAATTCCAAAGCTGGAAAGTCAATGGAAACTGTAAATTTTTGTGTGTGCCTTTAATCAACCATTTCGGTGAAATCCTCAAAGGAATGTGTTTGTAAATGTACATAAAAGGTTGTCAGCCAAAAAACAAATATTTGATAAAAAGTGCTAAGCAGGGAGAAAACTTCTGTTTTCTTCGATTTCATTATTTTGACGAGAGCCTGATTGCACCCCACTGTCTCACATTTAGTGAAGTGGCAGAGCGAGAGTAAACTGTTTGACAGGGAGAATGCCAGCGGTATTACTAATAAACTCTTCTCAGTTTACGGAATGTAGTTTTTTTTTTTTTTTGCAAGCTGTCAATTTTGTCATCCAATTTTTTCAGCATCACAACCTTTCCTAAATCCTGCTCTTATTAGAATTTGACTTATATGTATAAAACAAACACCAAACTGAGAAGAAATGAATGACATGTCCGGAATGCAGGGATGTTGCTTCCTGAAACAATGAACAATGAAGTAATAAATATATGGAAGCGTGCTGACAAATTAAGTAACTTCTCCAATTCTATCGCCATGGAATGAGATACATCACACTCATAGGTGAAGTTATTACTATTTATAAGTATGAAATCATAAAGGGCATGTTATACTTAAAAAATATGACACCCATAAGAATTCTACAATTTTGACCCTAGTGTCGATTTTTGGCAAATATCTCCATTTGAGGATAGCGAGAAGTAACTCATTTTGTCAGCACGACTCCCATATTGTTTGGTCATAAATAAGGTGGATTGGCTGGAGTTTGGTAGATTTTTGTAATGACCACAGCCAACAGAGCGATGAATAAGAGTCAATTCTGATCTGACACGGACATTGCTTCACCACTCCTACCCACCCCTTCTCAGTGTAAGAGTAAAACTCTGACATAATATGCCACTTTTCAAAATGGAGGTGTTTTTTTTTTTTTGGGGGGGGGGGGGGGGTAAGTGTTTTACGGCGCTCGCAACTGCATAAGGTGAAAGAGCGCGTGGGACACATCAAACATTTTCAGTTGGTAGGAAATTTTGAATTTTACTCGGGTGGCGGCGAAGCCTACTCTTATCGATTTTTGACCTCCAAGGGATTTTTAACGTGCGCAACTTGCACACGGGCCCTCCTAGATTTTTTCCCTTGTCCGAGAAGGCTAGGTGTAGATCTTTCCTACCAGAAGATCAGGGGTGTGGCTGAAAGACAGCAAGAAGGAACCAAGGCGTAGCAGTAGAAAGGCTGCAGAAAGAGTCAGGGGCCCAGAGGAGGGGGCAACGGAAGTGAGGGGGTGGGGGCAGAGAGTGGAGACGAAAGCAGACGACAGAACATTGATAGAGAACAGGAAAGGAGGTGAACGGAGACAATTTAGAGAAGAAAAATCTCTGTCGCTATCCGAGTATAGCGGAGAATTACACTAAACACAAGACCAGTGTTTGTTTGTTTTAAGTGAAGAAAAACACATCGGTATTTAGTGCTGGGAAATAGTAAAACAGACAGACAGAAACAACAGAGGGACAGTAGAAAAATAAGACCTACCAGAAGCACCCTCCAACCTCCTGCAAACCAGTGCTTGTCAACCTTTATATAGCCAGCGCCCACTTTTGTGACCTTCGAAAAGTTACATTGTTTTAGAAAACTTTTTTAAAAAGTTTCAATAACAGTTTTACGGCACTTGAAACACAATTAAATCATACAACTGCTGAAAAATTAAATGTATCACTTGAAGGTAACGTTTTAAAAGGAAGACAGGTAAAAACGGTAGATGTTTGATTGGAAAGAAAGCGCAAATCACAACACCAGCCAACCACCCACGATCATTATTGAACAACACCGGATTATAGAAACGCGACATTTATTCCAAGTCAATCCAAAACAAATCACGACAATAACTATTGACTATCCCCGTGGTTTTATGCGCCCCGTATAATTTAGCAAAATTTGAGCAGTTTTTGCATAATTTTAGATTATTTACCTTAACCATTCTTTGTTAAAATTAACAGAATCGCATAATTTCACATTTTTGGGCTCAGTCTGCATAATTTCAGAATTTTCCTTGCATAAAACGACGGGGAGAGTATTGATACGCAGCTCCAGTCTCGGTTTGCTGTTTTCGATCGGTAGTTATAATTTTCTCCTCCAAAAAGACACAACGATATGACAATCGAAACAGCAGCACACCTGGCCCACGTGCGACTAATTAAGGAGGTTGCACATTGCCCGTCTGTAACCCTTGATTCATCCGATATCGTCGATGCCAGCCAAGATTTTCCTTCATAGAGGGACAAAAGCTGATATTGTGCCACAACTTCGTCAAATACTCAACAACCCCTCCCTCCCCCCAAAAAAACCCAAACCCCCAACATTTTAACAAACAAACAGAAAACACAAACAAAACAAAACAAAAAACAACACCCCCCCCACCTGAAAAAGTTTTTAAAAAAACCCAAC